TGCAGTAGTCCAGGCGGGAAGTCACAAGGGCATGAGTGACCGTGCGTAAGGCGTCCCGGTCCAGAAACGGCCGCAACTGGCGGATCAGGCGAACCTGATAAAACGCTCCCCTGGTCACGGCCGACAACTGGTCATCCAATGTCAACCGCGAATCCAGGAGAACCCCCAAGTTGCGGACCCGATCTGAGGGGGCCAAAGTTTCGCCCCCTATAGTCAGCGATGGAATCAGCTGACTATGCCGAGGCGCTGGTAGCCACAGCCACTCGGTCTTGGACGGGTTGAGTCTGAGTCTGTTCCTCCCCATCCAGACCCTCACGGCCTCCAGGCACCGGGCCATCACGTCAAGGGCCATCACGTCAAGTCTGAGGCCCCATTCATGAGCAAATACTGCCTGCAGAAACCCATTCAAGACAGGATCTTTTGAAATCTCTTGCAGCAAAATTGATAGCTAACAATAGCAGAGTGATAGGATTAGAACCAGCAACCTCTCACCCATCCAACACAGGACATAGCCATCAGCCACAGCCCCAGGGAAGCAGGACATGACCTTTAGGACATAATAGGATTAACCCACCACTATCAGAATACTAAAAGGGAACACTGAACTTCAGGTCAAAGTTCATGCCACAGGAACAACTCCAAACACAAAAGCTCAAGGAAAGGTATAAAAACCCACCACTCCCAGCAACATGTGGTCAGCTGCTCCAAAGCCACATGTCTTGTGGTTCTGCTCTTCAATAAACTACAACCTTCTTTCTAAACCAGTCTCCATTTTGTTTATTCCCGGCTTGGACTGGACCCTGGTGAAGATTTTTCTTTCAACACACCTTTGGTCTCCAACTTCTTCATAAACAATTTAGATGAAGGGACAGAAGGGGAACTCATCTGTAGTCCCCAAATTCGGGTCTTAGCCTGGCGCCAAAGCCGAGGAAGATCACCGGACATGAGGTGCAGGATTGATTTCCTTTTATTGAAACGCTTCAGCAATAGGGGTCCCAGACGGCAAAATGCCAGGACCCAGAACAAAGGATGCAGTAAGCTTTTATACAGTTTTTCAAGGCAGGCAAAGAAACATTGTCTAATACAGTGGTTCTCAACCTTTTTAATGCCGCGACCCCAACCGGTCGTAAGTCGAGGACTAAACCGGTCATAAGTCGAGGACTAAACCAGTCGTAAGTCAAGGACTAAACCGGTCGTAAGTCGAGGACTACCCAACCGGTCGTAAGTCGAGGACTTTCCCTGCCCGGGAGCACCGCGCATGCGTGGTTCCGCCCCGTGCCGGCCGAGGCGTAGCTGGCAAGCGGCAGAGACGGAGCAGGCCGACCACCAGCTGGCCCAGCCCAAGGGAGGTAAGGCACCCGTCGGAAAAGGGGAAAAAAATGGCGGACAAAAAAAATGGCGGACAGCCTTGCTTGGCGACCCCCGTGAAATGGTCGATCGACCCCAAATGGGGTCCCGACCCACAGGTTGAGAACCACTGGTCTAATAGGCTTTTTGAAAGTTATCTAAAGGGTCCTTTATTGGCTCCGTGCCATCCCTAAGTCTTAACCAATAAACACTTCAAAAGTTACCTAACAAGTATTCTATTGGCTCTACTTCAATCCTATTCCTAAAAGTTAACTAATAGGCATCCTAAAAGACTTCTATTGGCTCTGTCTTAGCTCTAATCGTTATCTTCGCAATATGTCTTCTATGATATGCCTGACAGTCAGCTCTTGTTTTCTACATTGAAAGGGGCCCCAGCTGTCCACACTCCCTTTATTTTTATTATGCAGGTTTTGCAAATACACATCTCCTCCCTTCCGAGTTCCTGCCATAACCTTGCATTTTTATAGTAAATGGCCCTTCACATCTAATTTGCAGATGACACCATATTGGGGGAAATAGCCAATACCTTAAAAAATGGGCTCAAGATGCAGAAAGATCTTGACAAACTTCAACATTGGGCCCTGTCCAACAAGATGCAATTCAGTGGTGAGAAAAGTGAGGTTTTGCACTTAGGCAAGAAAAAACAAATGCACAGGTATAGAGTAGGTGGGTACCTGGCACAACAGCGTTAGCTGTGGGAGGGATCTCGGAGTCCTAGCGGACAACCATTAAAGTATGAGCCAGCAGTGTGCTACAGTGGCCAAAACCCCCCAAAAAAATCCTACCTAGACTGTATCAATAGATGGACAGAATCAAGATTATGTGAAGTGTTAGTACCACTTTATACAGCCTTGGTAGGATTACACTTTGAATATGGTGTCCAGTTCGGCTCACTACGATGTAAAAAAGACGTTGAGACTCTGGAAAGGATGCAGAGAAGAGCAACAAAGATGTCAGGATGAAACTTTGGCAGCTACATGCCTCTGAGTTTCAACTTGCTTTTAGATTAAGGGGGGTGGGAGTGTTACTTTCAAGTGGGTTAGATGGACAAACGAAACTTCGATTCTACTGAAGACCGTGAGAGCCTGAAACCTTTTCAAGGACACCAGAACAGGTGTGGATTTGAAGCAGACAGTTCCCATAATGGGTGGAAGATCATTAAAGAGATATTCAACCTAGAACTAAGGAGAAATTTCCTGACAGTGAGCATAATTAATCAGTGGGACACTGGAGGTTTTTAAGAGATTAGACACCCATTTCTCTGTAATCCTATAGGGTCACCTGCTTGGACAGAGGGTTGATCTAGAAGACCTCCAAGGTTCCTTCCAACTTGGTTATTCTTTATTCTGTTACCCCTGAGCCGTAGAAGTGGGTTCCAGATGCATTGAAATGCAGCTGCCCTCCCCCACCCCTATTACTCTCAGAAGGTGGGAGCTGCTGTTTTCCAAACTGGAAATTAAAACAAAGAGCTTCAGAGTGCAAAATATTCAGTGTGTTTATTACTACTTGAGTATTTCAGTGGGAAGGTCCAGCTCTCCTGCAGTTGTGTGGGCAGCTTGCAAGTGCTTGAATTTTGATCACATGAACACATGAACACTCAAAAAGTCCAGAAAAAATCCCGTTGTTTAGTTTATGAATAGGCGAATTTTTGCAGGTTACCCAAAAAAGTCCTTGACTTACGACCACACTTGATCTCGCTGTCAGGATGAAACTTTGGCAGCTACATGCCTCTGCGTTTCAACTTGCTTTTAGATTAAGGGGGTGGGAGTGTTACTTTCAAGTGGGTTAGATGGACAAACGAAACTTCTTCGATTCCGCTGAAGACCGTGAGAGCCCGAAACCTTTTCAAGGACACTAGAACAGGTGTGGATTTGAAGCAGACGGTTCCCATAACAAAGTGAACTTGTTTATATGGACTACGTAAAACGTTGAGGGTTTGGCTGAGGAAATTATTGTTTAAGTGTATGAATTGGTGTTGGAACCTTAGAGTTAGTTTTGCTTTGACAATACTATGCAGTGTATTCAATAAACAGTAAGATTTTCGGAGATAGAATGAACCTGGAGTTTTATTCTGGATTCTCGAGCTGGATGTTGACACTCGCCTTGCCAATCACTGACTGGAATCAACCCTGGATAAAGGGGATTAATCAGCACAACACCGTACCTCACTCACCCAATCCTGTCAGATCATGCAAAAGGATACCATGGGCAATGATATTGAAAATCAACAAGAGGTCAAATAGGACAGTGTTTCTCAACCCTAGCCACTTTTAGTTGAGTGGAATTCAACTCCCAGAATTCCCCAGCCAGCATAGAATTCTGGGAGTTGAAGTCCACTCATCTTAAAATGACTAAGGTTGAGAAACACTGAAATCGATCACCCAAAAGCATGAACAATGCCATATCCAGATCTCAATCCAGAGGATAAAGGATCCAGATAATCTATCTTGTCCAAGGCCCTCTGAAGCTGTCACACAACCATCATCTCTACCACCTTCCCCACAAAGGGAGGTTCAATACTGGATGAAAACTCTCCAGTGTGGTAGGATGCAACAATGGCTTTCTTGAGGAGGGGGGGAAAAGGCCTCCTTAAGAGATACTAGAATAGGGGTAGGTAACCGTGGTTCTTTTATGACTTGTGGACTTCAACTCCCAGAATTCCTGAGCCAGCCATGCTGAGGGGAAAGGGAGAGGTTTCCAAGCTGAGCCAGGCTGGCTCAGGAATTCTGGGAGTTGAAGTCCACGAGTCATAAAAGAGCCAAGGTTGCCTACCCCTGTACTAGAACAACCCTCTTACTCAAACAAGAATTCACCACCCCCAGAACCCACCCACTCAATTTAACAAGCCGGAATTGTCATAAAAACAAGGTGGCCCTTTATTATATCTTTCTGCCATTGCTTAAATAGTGCATGCATTACCAAGATAAGTATTATTTGAAACAGAAACATCATTCTGGATAATATATTCCTTTTTCTCATAGAAATTCATCCTAACAGGGGCAGTTGTAATTTTTCCCATCTTAACACATCCTTCTTGATGTCATTCCATGTCTTACTCCAATTATTTTAAAACTGCGTACAATTCATATTCAGCATAAAAATACTCAAGGCTTTTACTTCTGTCTCAATCTTAAAACCAGCTTTTCCTGACAATTTTGTTTGGTCTTCTGTTTCTGTATTTTTGTGAACATCGTCTTCTTTGACTATTCATTTGAAAAGACCCAAATCCTTTATTTTTCCCATTTCTGTTCCTTTCACAAGGTCTTCCAAACTTACCACCAAGTCATCAAAAAATTCCCTAAGTTTATTTCTTTCTTTTCATCTTCATGCCAGCAATTCTCTCATCCTGTCTTTTATCTCCATTCAATAGTTGAATATTCAATTAGCTCACCAGTGCTGAATGGGGGACCACCAGGAGTTTTAGGATGGGCCTGGAGGTAAATATGTATCCAAGATAATTTTTTTGTTTAGTCGCACTGAAATCGCAAGACGGCTTCCATGAACTCCTTTGCTTAAGGTGATTAAACAGGATTTCCTTCTTCTCTTCTTGGCAAGGATCTTGAGGGTATTCCCAGGTGTGGTTGTGAGGGTACACATGAGGGCACCTAGGGGTTGCGGTGAGGACATTTACATCAATCTAGAACAATTTCTTCCTCTGTGTGAACTTTCATGTGACTTATAAGGGCTGATTTGCGACGGAAAAATATTCCACACTCGAAGCACTGATAGGGCTTCTCCACTGAGTGAATTTTCTGATGTTCTCCAAGTTGTTCCTTTTCAGCAAAACATTTCCCACACTCCCCACATTTATACGGCTTCTCCCCAGCATGGATGCTCTGATGTACACAAAGTTCTGACTTTTGAGAGAAACTTTTTCCACACTCCCCACATTGATAGGGGTTCTCTCCTGTGTGCCCCTTCTGGTGTCTCTGAAGTTCAGCAGACTCCACAAATCGTTTCCCACATTCTGGGCATTCATAGGGTCCATCTCCAGTGTGAACTCTTTGATGTCGCAACAGATTTGATTTGTGGGAAAAACCTTTCCCACATTCTGGGCACTTTTGCTGACTTGTATGTGCTTTCTTATGCCTCCGAAGAGATGAACGCCAACTGAAACTCTTCCCACACTCAGGGCATGGATAAGAACCTCTTCCTGTGTGTATCTTCTCGTGTACCCGAAGGTCCGAACTGCGAGTAAAGGCCTTCCCACATTCCCCGCACTTGTAAGGTTTCTCACCTGCGTGAAATTTCTCGTGATTCCTAAGGTATTCTTTGTGAGGAAAAGATTTCCCACATTCCTGACACTGGTAAGGTTTTTCTCCGGAATGAATTTGCTGATGCCTCAAAAGATTTGCTTTTCTGCAAAAACATTTACCACATTCGAAGCACTTATGGGGCGTCACTCCGTCGTGCATTATGCGGCTGTGATTTCTAAGGGATGTGGAATAGGCAAATGTTCTCCCACAGTCTAAACATTTGTAATCTTTCTCCCCTCTGTGAAGTTTCTCATGACGCCGGAGGCTGGCTATGGTATGAAAATACATTCCACACTCGATACAGTGAAAGGGCTTCTCCCGCGAGTGGATCTTCTGATGTTCAAAGAGGCCTCCCTTTCGAACAAAGGATTTTCCACACTCCCCACATTTGTAGGGCTTCTCTCCTGTGTGGCTGCTCTGATGAATCCCAGTCTGTGTCCGTGAGAGACACCGTTTCCCACCCTCCTCACATTCTTCTCCTTTGTGCGTCATTTTGTGTTTTACAAGATCCTGCGAATACGTAAACCGCTTCTCACATTCTGGGCATTCGTAGGGTTTCTCCCCAGAGTGAATTCTCCGATGTCGCACCAGGCTTAATTTCCAAGTGAAAAACTTCCCACATTCTGGACACTCTTCCCTTCCCGGAGCAGTGTGCTGACTCTCATGTTTCCGAAGAGAGGAACTTTCAGGGAAGGTTTTTTCACACACAAAGCATCGGTAAGACTTTATTTCTTGGTCATCCTTCCCATGGAGCCAAAGCTGGGACTTCTGAGGGAGGCCCTTCCCGCCTTGCCCGAACTTGTAAGATTTCTCTCCTGGGTGGATTTCCTGACGTTGAAGCAGCTCTGACCTCTGAGACAAGCCCAGTGTTTTCCACCCGTTCTGGCATTCCCAAGGTCTCTTTCCCTGGTGGATCCGCTGATGGGCTCCAAGGTCCGAGCCTTTAGCAAAACGCTTCCCGCACTCTCCGCATTTGTAGGGCCTCAGTTCAGGATGGCTCCTGAGATGCTTGGCAAAGGCCCACACTTCAGGAAAGGATTTCCCACATGTCGAACACAGATGGGATCCATTCCCCGTGTGCAGCTTCCGGTGGATCAAAAGGAGGGACCGGTAAGCAAAGGGTTTCCCACACTCAGAGCACGTGAAGAGCCTCTCCCAATTCCTCTGAGGTGATCTTCGGTTGAAGCATTTTCCCCCTTGCACAGATTCCATAGTTGCTTGCTTGCGGTTCCTTGTCACCAGAGGCAATTTGCAAGCAAAACTTTGGCCAGAATGTTTTTCCAGGCTGCACCTGAGGATAAAGGAAAAAGAAGTGAGGAGGAAGATTCACTCTCCTTTAGCTCCCAAAATAGCCAAATCAGGGGTAGGCCACCTTGGCTCTTTTATTTATTTATTTTATTTGTTCCCATTTATACCCCGCCCTTCTCCCGAGGGACTCAGGGCGGCTTACAGGTAAATAAAAACAGTACAATACAATAAATATCTAAAAACCAAATTAAAATATATATTAAATGACCTGTATTAGATTTAAAATTATAAAATCCCTTTAAAATCCCTATAAAATCCCCCCCTAGGCCAAT